TGTCTCTGTATCAAATCATTATTTTTTCTTAAGCCAAGAACAAATGCACATGGTTTCATGTTCAAAGGTAACTGACCTTTTTTTTTTTAACAAGATCTTGCCCCCACTGAGTTCATCCCCTTAAAAAATAAGGTTGTTTTCAAATGCTTAGAAAGAAAGTTATATCACAATTACAAGTGAAATTTAAGGGAAAAAAAAAGCTATAACCAAGTCATCCATCATCTAGACTTTTTTCGAAACATCCATTTTGATTCACGTGCTTTTAATTTTTATTTATTTTAATCTCCGTAAAATTATCTGTATACTTTTAAAAAGTTATTATTTTGATCCTTTAAATTTTCATTTTTATATCATTTGTTTACATCACAATTTTAACATCACTCCACTCACTAAATTTTTTGAAATATAACCATAAATATGTATTAAAAGATTTTCATAATTTATAAAATTCGTGTTAAAATTTTACAAATAGAGATCAAAATGATCTTTTTTTATGTACAAGAAATAAAATAGACGTTTTGAAAATACAGATACTAAAATGAATAAAATCAGAGACATGTGTCAATTACCACTGAACTATGCTAGTGCTATGCTAGTGTTAGCGGTTTGACTGCATAAGCTAAACTATTTCCCTCTTTTTTTTTTCAATAACTGAGAGAGAGAGCTGTTTGACTGCATAAGCTAAACTATTTCCCTCTTTTTTTTTCAATAACTGAGAGAGAGAGAGATAAACAGAAAACCAGTAAATATTAGATCATAATATAGTACAATAATATCTGTACACAACATAACACAAAAGCACAGCACCTCCAATATGACGAGTGACATTTATTTATTTATTACATATAAAAAAGCAACCCTCAACACATAATATAATAAGAATAATAATATGAAACTAAAGTATCAACCATAATGAATATCAATTATATATATATTATATGTTGAAGGAGCTGCTAGTTCCAAAGCTCCATAGCCATGGAAAATATGATTGCCATGGCCACACTCTGAAACTTTCCTGGTACAATGGAGTTTCCTACAAGGAAACAACATTAATTAAAACTTAGGGTTTAAAATTAGATTTTCGTAATTTTCAAGGATATATGTGATTGTGTGATCAGTGGGTTTGCTCACCCCAAAATTAGGGACAAGCTACACAAATTTATGGGTTAGACTAGAAGTACTACTCATATTTGTTGTCCTAGAAGAAAAAATTCTACACCAATCCAATTTTTTTCCCAAGCTCTATTCCTTTAATGTTCAGAAGTTTTTTCAATTTAGTCCCCATTGTTTAAAGGGTTTCAATTTAGTCTGATCTTAAGATTTTTCAATTTAGTTCATCCTCGTTGGTAAATGTTAAAATTAACTTATGATTAACTTACTTGGCATAATACTTCATTTTAAGAGAGGAAATTTTCTAATTCTTCATCCAAATTAGATATTTCGGTTTTCTTTACTTTTTTCTCTACTAAAATTTTTGTCAATTTGCTAAGTATTATGTCATGCAAATTTGTCATTAGCATATTTTAACATTTACCGATCCATAAACTAAACTGAAAAATATTATAATGTGTTTATGCAAGGATATGCACAACAGTGTATTTCAGATTGCAGCTCGAACTCGGCCTCCGGACCGATCTGAATACTTAGGCGGACCTGCACGAAAAGGTGAGCACTCCGACGATCAAGTCAGTATAGGTCGGATTCTCAGCTTAGTTCGAGGTCAGAAAATCATCGTACCTGATCGCGGAGTGAGGTCCTCTACTTATGGGTGGTAGTCCCGCTAATCTCGCGACGGTTACACCCGGTAATCTCGGGACCGTCGGTTACACCCGGTAATCTCGGGACCGACGGTTACACCCGATAATCACGCCGCTGACAGTAGCTCACATCGGCCCCCACCGAGCTTCCCGGTAGA